AATTGTGTGTGAACATTTAAATATTTTTAAATTTGACTGTTAATTTTTTTTTTGTTTAGACTTTTTAATTGATTAGACGAGAACTGTATTGATTTTCAAGATTTCGCGTAAACCCAGTGACGTATGGACTCATTTTGACAAAAAAGAAAACGCTCTTGGAGTTGCAGTGTGTAAATATTACAATCAAAACATATCATATATATCAACAACGGTTAAATTAGGAGCTCATTTAAAACGATCTCACGCTTCAATTTATTTAGCGTAGTTAGATTTGCGTTTGTCGTTTTGTTAACTTATAAAACGAAATCTAAGTACGCAAACGAATTGGCGTGGCTAAGCGATACTGAAGTCGGATTTTTAAAAACGGATTTTGAAATCGATTTTGAAATCTGAAATCGGATAAATATCGGTTTGCGTTCAAATCCAAAATCGCCCACGCCTAGTTTTCGGCCTTTTAGTGGAGTTGTCAACTATAAAGCCTCATTTACATTCAGCCCCTGCCACTGCTCCTCGCGCTGCCGGCAATACTTCGCTAAATACTGCCGTAGCAGGATCGCGGGAAGTGTGTATTTACTATCTACACTCTGCCCTACCACTCACTAGACGTGGGGCGTTACGTAATTTTCAAGAAACGTAACGAAACCAGTGACTTGATCGGCGTCACCTGTTTCAAAACTAGTGATTTTTGTAACTGGCTATTTTTATTCGGCTACTGTGATTGTTTGCATAAATATCACCACCAACTATACAGTTACACACGAAACGAAAATAAATTTAATCACAATCTGTGTTTATAGCTATAGTCTATACAGTAACTGTATACTGTTAAATCAATAAATTTACTTCCCTTCATACTTTACTCAGGTTTAGGACTGACTGTATTTATGATTGAATTGCGTTTACTATGACACTAAGATTTTCATAAAATTATTAAGGAGGCATATTTACATGTCAATTTGTTTGTATATACAATGATTATTGATATTTACAGTTTATTTACACTTTTTCAACGTTTTCACTATCATTTGTTTTTGCACTTTTATTTACGCTGTACAATTAATTTGTTTGTTTTTTTTTTGGCTATTATTCACAGTTTTTAAGTTTTATAATATTATAAACATTTAAATTTTTAAATTTTTATACACATTTTAATTTTATTTTATATTTTAATTTTATGAATAAACGAGTTCATGACTCCGTCAAAAATGTTTTAAAAATTATTTTAGTTAAATTTAATGTGACTCGCTTCCCGGAATCACAAACCCTTGAAATTATTTACAAACAGAGATTACTCTATTTTATTGTCTATGTCTATAGTCTTACGTATGAAAATTAAACGTACAATAATACTGTTACTTACGATGTTTTGTTTATTGTTGTATGCCACATGTGCGCTTTGCGCTCGACCGACCGACAGTCGACTCCCGCAATAATCGTGGTTAACAGTAATCATAATCACGCATTTACAAAAATCACTACTTGTAACATGACTCGAAACTAGTGATTCGGTTACATGCCGCGTAGCCAGTTACTGTATTATAGTTACGTGAAATAACGCCCACGTCTACCACTCACATCACTTTCGGCTTTCGACTATGGCAGACGTCGAAATAATTACAGCGTCCTGTCTTCTTGCAATACAAAATTATGTTAATAATTTAAAAAGATATCAAGTTCAAAAGAAGATATATAGATAGATAGAAAATTTATTTGCTTAAAAACATGGTAGGTACATAAGATGATGATTTTATATCATAATACAGCTAATTACACAAACCCAATGTTATATTTTAAAATTATTGCATTGCTTAAAAGTTAGGTACATTCTTTTTGAATTCAAATATTATGTACTATTAAATACTTATACAGATCCACTCTATTTGAATTCTTAAGTATACAGTAAATTGTTCATAATTTATTAATTGAATTATAACTTACATTATTGTTACATAAATAATATTAAATATTATATGAAATTAGTTAAGCTATTATTATTTTAATAATTACACTACAGTATAAAATAATTCATAATTTTAATTACAATAAAATTATAATTTAAAAATCTCAGGCTATTATGCAAATATTACCATTTAACTTATTTTACATTTTAATAAATAAATAATCAATATGAGTTACTAATCGTTTTTAGAAATAAAATGTCAATGTTCGTTAATTCCGTAGACAGAGAAACCTATGGACTAATGATCGGCGTGGCCTCGAGTGAGAAAGAACGATAACGAATTTTTAGGTTATAGAATAATCTTCATGACTTTTAAACACATTTAGATAAAAATTTTAATTGTTATAAGAACTGAACTAAACAAGATTCACCAATCTTAAGCTCACAAAACACTTTTTTCTCACTTAAACCAACTTGTAAACTCCTTAAATCGCTACGCTGTCAACGTTGTTTAGCAAACTGTAGAGTTTGCTAAACAAAAAAACCGGCACGGAGAAAGGGACAAACAATCACACCGCTCTATCTTATTTCTATGCAAGACGTATGCATAAATCTATCTTTTTTCGTGTGCGAATGCGATAAAAGGCTTCAATTTGTCTATAGGTTTCTCTGTCTACGGTTAATTCCTTAAACTAAATTTTATACTAATATAATAAATTTGACGAATTTATAATAAATTATGTACATATGAGTAGGTACTATGTTATCTCAAAAAGAAAATTCGTATTCGTAGAAGATGATGAATTGTGGTTTTTATCATTGAAACCCCCATATGGTATTTTCTGATTCCAGCAGTTCTAAAAACTTTATTGTATTTTCATTATTCCACTCGAAAGGCATTTTGGTAGATCGTACTTATTTATGAATGGATGATGAATGAATGAATATACTTTATTGTACACCACAAACAAATTTACAAAGAACATAACAGAGAGCAGATTACATGTACAATTCGGCGGCCTTATCGCTACATAGCGATCTCTTCCAGGCAACCAAAGGTGTAAAGGAATAAAACAGTGATACTAGGTAGGTGGTGCAATATAAATATACCTAATATAATATCAATACAAGCAATAAAATAACATATAAATAACTAATACATTAAAAAATATGATACACATATACATACGTATATACATAAACACACACACATATACAACAAATATAAAAAAAAAACCCAAAATAATATCAATACATATACATTACCTACATATATCCTCAAATATATACCACTAACAATAACATAAACAAATAAATACAAAACTACATAATCACATAATTTATCCTTATGATTTTCAAACGATTGAGACAAGTAATGTTCTTTAAGAAGTCGCTTAAAGACTACAATAGTCTGAGCTTCGCGTATATACAAAGGTAGGGCATTCCAGAGCTTAATAGACTGTACAGAAGAACTATATGGGACTGACAGAGAAACTATATGGGATTTCAACGATAAAAACCACAATTCGTCATCTACGAATACGAATTTTCTTTTTGAGGTCACATAGTACCTATGTACATAATTAATTATAAATTCGTCAAATTTATTATTTTAATATAAAATTTAGTTAACTTTAAAAATAAAAATTTAGTATAATTTTAATTAAAATAAAATTGTAATTTAAAAATGTCAGATTATGCAAATATTACCATTTAACTTATTTTACATTTTAATAAATAAATAATCAATTGAGTTACTAATCGTTTTTAGAAATAAAATGTCAATATTCATTAATTCCTTAAACTAAATTTTATATTAATATAATAAATTTGACGAATTTATAATTAATTATGTACATAGGTACTATGTTATCTCACAAAGAAAATTCGTATTCGTAGAAGATGATGAATTGTGGTTTTTATCGTTGAAATCCCATATAGATTTTTCTGATTCCAGCAGTTCTAAAAACTTTATTGTATTTTCATTATCCCACTCCAAAGGCGTTTTGGTAGATCGTACTAATTTAATAACAAGACGGCACACACGTCCGTTCATCCAGGCGCTTGGCGCGAAGTTAGCGATGGAGCTGAATGTGAACACTCACTGCCGCTCGCGCTGCCCGTCCTTTGACTTCCGCACGAAAAACCGACATTTGAGAGATCGTTGGGCAGTGGCAGCGGCAGTGGCAATGTCAGCGCAAGTAGCCTGTTTACATACTGCCCTGCCCACTGCCCTGCTCACTTCCCTGCCCAACAGGGTTGAATGTAAATGGGGCATGAGAGATCGTCGGGCAGTGGCAGCGGAAACGGCATCCTAAAATCGAGAATCGTCGCAGTGTCAGCGCGAGTAGCCTGTTTACATACTGCCCTGCCCACTGCCCTGCTCACTTCCCTGCCCAACAGGGTTGAATGTAAATGGGGCATGAGAGATCGTCGGGCAGTGGCAGCGGTAGCGGCAGTGTCAGCGCGAGTGGCCTGTTTACATACTGCCCTGCCCACTGCCCTGCTCACTTCCCTGCCCAACAGGGTTGAATGTAAATGGGGCATGAGAGATCGTCGGGCAGTGGCAGCGGTAACGGCAGTGTCAGCGCGAATTGCCTGTTTACATACTGCCCTGCCCACTGCCCTGCTCACTTCCCTGCCCAACAGGGTTGAATGTAAATGGGGCATGAGAGATCGTCGGGCAGTGGCAGCGGAAGCGGCAGTGTCAGCGCGAGTAGCCTGTTTACATACTGCCCTGCTCACTGCCCTGCTCACTTCCCTGCCCAACAGGGCTGAATGTAAATGGTTAAGGTACAATAAAAAATAATTACCATATTGTTGACCTAGTGCTGTTAATGTTAATTTGTAGCTTATATAATGTAGTTTTCATTTTTATAACTCATTGATGCTATAAAAGAAATCTTTTAAATAACCATTATTAATAACTTTTCTCTGAATTATAATCTAAATTTATAAAAAATAATTAGATATAGATTAGCAGAGAATAGCTGCTTGGGGAAAGCGGATTCGGCGATATACCGAGAGGTCGACACGGTTCAACCAGAATCGTCTCTTCCAGAGTGATCAAAAGAGGCTCTATAAATCATTGGAGCGACCAATGGTAAGTGGAAAGGGCCCAGTACCGAATCAGGCCGACACGGTCGCATTCTGGCACAGCGTGTGGTCAGAGCCTGTAAAACACAACGAGCGCCCTTGGACGGAAGTTGTGGCGAGTCAGTGTGCGGTTATTACGCCCATAGACCCCGTCATCATAACGCCGGATGACGTAGCTGAGGCGGTCCGTAGGGCTCCGAACTGGAAAAGTCCGGGGCTTGACGGGCTGCATCACTACTGGCTGAAGGGATTCATGGTGTGTCATGCTGTGCTCGCTCGACAGTTTCAAGAGGCTCTCAACCAGAAGTCGCTCCCGAGCCTCTTCACTACTGGGATCACTCATTTGGTTCTTAAAGATCAGGGTGCCACAGACCCGAGCAAATATCGCCCCATCACGTATCTACCGACCATATACAAGACAATAACATCCATTTTGAGCGCGAGAATCACTCGTCACCTGGACTCAAATCAGGTGATGTCGCGCGCTCAAAATGGATGTCGGGGTGGCGGTCGAGGAACCTAGGAACCACTCCTCATTGACGCGGTCATTGGCAAAGTGGTGAAACGCAACCGTCGGAACTTCTCTGCCGCCTGGATAGACTACAGAAAGGCATTTGACTCGGTGCCACATACATGACTAAAGAGGGTCCTCGAGCTGTACAACATTGATTGTACAGTTTGAGACTTCCTCGGGCAGTATATAGAGTAGTCGAGTACGATCCTCTGTTATCTAGGCGAGCGGATGACGGCTGCGGAAAGCCGCATAAGGATAAGAAGGGGTATATTCCAGATCGACTGTCTGAGTCCAATCTCGGTTCTGCCTCTCTTTGAACCCTCTCAGTACTTTACTGGAGGGCTCCTGGAGAGGATTTCAGCTTCGGAAAGGAGGTACAAAGTGACCCACCTTTTCTATATGGATAACCTCAAATTATTCGCCTCCAGTCGCTCCCATCCTATGGAATTGATAAACATCACTTGTGAATTTAGCAATTCTATTGGAATGGAGCTGGATACGAATAAGTGTGCGGTCCTCCACGTTGAAAGGGGAAGGGTTTCTAACTCTGAGGGCATAGACTTATCTATGCCCGTCAACTTAAGAACCCTTTCCGAGGCTGAAACATACCGATACCTGGGTATGTCACAGAAAATCGGTATCGATGAGGTTGGTAGGAAACAGTCAGTTTGCGACATGTTTTATGCACGCTTGACCAAAGTGCTTAACAGCCTTTTGTCCGGTGTGAATAAGGCATACGCATATAACGGCTGGGTCATGCCTGTCCTCATGTATACCTTTGGCATAACCATGAAAAGTCCGCACTACCATGACGTCCCATAGGATGCATCATCCGAGATCGTCGGTAATGAGGCTGTACTTGCCGCGAAAGCATGGTGAGCGTGGCTTCCTGAGCGCGCTCACCATGCATAATCGCGAAGTGTGCAGCCTCCGTGACTACTTCCTGGCGAGATCGGATGATCCATTCTATAATGACGTCATTTTTAGTGATAAAGGGCTTACCCTCTATCCTTAGCCAACGAGAAATGGCAGGACCTGGCAGTACAAAGCATTTCCGACCAGGAGACCGTATGGAAGGGAAGGAGCTCCACGGGAGGTACTACAGGGCTCTACATGAGCCCTTCGTAGATACAGTCGCCTCCCTCAACTGCCTACGTTTCGGTGACCTTTTCGGGGAAACCGAGGGTTTTGTCTGTGCAATACAGGATCAGGTTATTAAGACCAACAACTATCGGAGATACATCCTAAAGGATGGCACCGTCGACGTCTGTCGAGCTTGTCGCCATCCCGGTGAGTCACTTAGGCGTGTAATCTCCGGTTCTTCAGCGCTTTCTAACTCTGAGTACTTGCACAGGCACAACCTAGTAGCCAGAATTCTACACCAGGAGCTCGCTCTGAAATACGGTCTCGTGTACCGAATTCCGTATATATACATGTACTTTGCCGGAAGCCGTGCTCGAAAATGACCGCATCAGGCTCTACTTAGCCATCATCACAGATAGGACTATTCTTGCGAATAAGCCTGATATTGTGCAGATGGACCAGGTACAGTCAAGGATATTTTTGATCGACATTACCATTCCGTATGACGAGAACCTCGTGAAAGCCGAAACAGATAAATGAAAAAAATATCTGGACTTGGCTCACGAGGTAACCGACATGTGGGGTGGTTTGCCGGTCGAAATTATTCCTGTAGTCGTCTCTGCGAATGGGTTAATCCCAGTCAGCCTCTCGGGTCATCTGAGGCGACTGGGACTCCGTGACGGACCGCTCCGAGCTCAAATGCAGAAGGCGGTGCTCCTCGATACCGCCCGCATCGTCCGCCGGTTTCTTTCCCTTTCCTCCTAACCCTCGGCCGTTTGGTCTCCCCTGCCGAGGGCTTCCATCTGGTTGGATCTTATTTATTTATGTATTTTTTGTATTTATTTTATTTTATTAATATTTATGTATCTTGTCATTTTAACTTAAAATTATATATTTATAGAACCCAACCAGATGAGAAAATTATATAGATACCCCAAAAATAATTAAAATAATATAGCAATAAAATCTTCTAATTTACGAGTATTTTGTGCTTCCTCATATTGCAGTTCAACAAGATCTGTTACCATCTCATATTAACAGTACATCTCAAATCCATTTGGTGCAAAAGTCACATCCAATATTTTTTTCAGATCTTCTTCTGTTTCGTTTATTAAAATATAATGACACTAGGCGTAATTTACTCTTACCCTTCTCTTCTTCATAGAATTCTAGTATTTGGCGATTTTTCGTATTTAAAATTTAGCACTCCTTACTTTTTCTTTTTCTATTCGTTTCTTTTTCATAATTTCTCAGTTCTTATTTCTCTGTATTAACTTTATCTTCATAAAATTTTCGCCACAACGCAGATGAAATTGCTGCAGAAGAAGATGCACGTGTACTGTTAATAGTAAATTTTTTATGGGTTACGGTTTAATTAAATGTTTTTTTTCTATTGCATTGTATTCTATTCTATTGTTCTTTATTTAATAGTACTGAAACCAATGTTAGTTTGTAGAGGTATACTAGTCCCTTTTGTTGGAATATCAACCCACACATTTTCTAAAGTTCCTAGTTTGTTATCATCGGTGTTTATAGTGTTATCATCGTGGTGATTTGAGTCGTTATTGTTTCATTACTGAAATCTATTATCACTTCAGGCATTGTCAGTATTGTTGTTGTTGGTAGGCTTATTTGAGTTTGTATAAAAAGAATATCATATTACGATACTAAGGAACCAATATCCAAATAACTTCCTGACAAATGCAATGTTAAAAATTTTCATTCTGATGCATCGGTTAATGCATAAATAGTTACCAGAACATCGTGAGTTTTAATTATTTTTATTTTGGTCTGTGTTGCACAGACTTTCTGGAGACTTAAATGGACTAAGCGGTCTTATATTGCTTAATTGGAGAATTCGTTGCCCTATGTGGAACGAAATTGATCTGAGAAGACTTTCTTTTCAATTTCATTATCTTATTTACTTTAATAGCAACTTTTATGTTTTTTATGACAAAGTTGATTCAAAATGATTCAAAACTTTTCTTGTGGGAACTAGGTATGAGTTAGTTATTTCTTTAGAAATATTTCTGCCTTCTTACAATTATCACACATTAGTCTTTCCAGGATTTTCTGGACTCATTATGAGTAATCCACTGCATTGACATCTCGTTATCATCTCATCATCAAATTTTTTGAAACCATTTACAAAAAAAAATGTATTGAATCTTCTTCCTAAAAAGGAACGTGAATGAAATATTTCATGATATAGCCGTAAACGTAGACTAAAGCAACATTCTATTTTCGGCCGCCTTATTCTTTCATACATTATTAAGTTGGCCGAAAACTAAATCCAGTCAATCCAGTTTTCGGCCATGATCGAAATGGGTATTTTTGTTTCACCACTGACTGTTAAAGTTGCAGTACTGGTGACCGAAAACTGAAAGTTAGTGTCTACGCACTCTACGATTCGAACTATATTAACATTTCGCAATATATTTTTCTACTTTTTATTGACATCCCGTAATAACCACGGAAAATCTGCCGCGACTTAGGAAGGGGAAAAGATGCAAAGTAATATGGACACTCGCGCGCAGCGATAAAATTTTTATTTAGCTTGCGTGGGCTATTTATTCAATTAACAATAATTATGTAGGCTATTAAAAGTCAGTCAGCAGTCAACATCAAAAAAGTGTTACTTCTGTACGTAGTACAATTATTTATTCTGTGGTCGAGGTGGGTACGACATTCCTATACCACCCAGCTTAGCATGGCATAGCTAACTAACGCTAACTTGATTATATCTTGATTGTACCACGGAATAAAAGCATTTGTACAGATTTTATGTATTTATTGTCAAAATGGCATCGTTAAAGCAGTGCCCTTTTGACCCTTTATTATTTGATTGTACCAATAAAGAGCCATACCTACCATATACCTATTATAGGCGTACACAACATTGACAGAAGATTAATATCTTCTGTCAATGTTGTTTTTAATTTTTTTTGGTTAATTTTACTATTTTATTGTTTTCAATCAAAAAAAATTAAAAACTTAATTAAGAACAAATGCCTCTTCACAAAGAGCCGGCCAGTTTTCGTTTAAATTTAAACTTTCGCAAAGTCATTACAAAGCCATCTACGCAAACAGGGCTGTAGGTTTTGTTAAAAAGACTTTCACTGGCAAATAGCTGATGATAAAAGGAGTAACTAAGAATTACTTATATTTTAGAAAACACAATTAGAGTTCCGCGCAAAAAAGAAATCAGAACCTATGAAATCCAACCGTAGCATACAAATTAATAAAAAAAAAAAAGCATATTCCAGTCGCGGGGAACAGTCCACTGGAACGTTTTCGCACACATCCGCTGCCCTATCAGCTCCAGTGGACCATAGCAGCCCCTTCTCGGAATAGAACTTTTCCACTCCCTACCATAGCTAACGTTAAATGATGTTAAAGGTTTATTTAACTTCTAGATGGAGGAGGAAAAGAAATCACCAAACGTGATAAAATCAGCAACCAAAACAAAGAATACGTTCCATTCAGAAACAAAAAGTAAGGGTCTCGTGTACGTGCAGAAGCACGTGCGGGAGAACGAACTTGCCAAACTTATGGGACTCAAGAAGGACTTTCGTAATATTCAGGTAACCGTGCTAATATCTTCCACATCTGGTTTTATAATTGCACTAATGTTAAAGGCTCGCTGCCCGCTGTGCAATGAAAAGGGAAACAGGCCTCTCGTAAGGCCCGTAAGTGCGACAGAGAGCGCAAAGCTCTAAAGGCACGGCGTAATGTTTCCCCGTTTTATTGCTCCGCGGGCAGCGAGTCCTTACCATTAGTATATGTGGTGAAATGAATCAATTTGTCTAGGAGTCTAGGCGGGCCTCTGTCACTCTTGCTACCTGCGTGAAATAATTACCTAAAATCGCGACGCACCTAGGGTGAAATACGCAGTCGGGGCTGGCATGGTCTGGGCGATAGAATGTTAAAGCTTTTTACGCTGTTTATGTAAATATTTTTTTGTAAATACTTGTTGCAATAGTTTTTGTTAAGTGTTTAGCATATTTAATTGCAGGATTAAATACTTAAAACGTTTTAATGTAATTTAAAAATTATATATCTTAATATATATATATATATATATATATATATATATATATATATATATATATATATATATATATATATATATATATATATATATATATATATATATATATATATATATATATATATATATATATATATATAAATTACGTGTCACGTTGTTTGTCCGCGATGGACTACTTAACTACTCAACCGATTTTAATTAAATTTCCACACTGTGTGCAGTTTGGTCCAAATTGAGAGATAGTATATTTTTTTCCCATGAGTGACCCACAATTTCTTTTTGCGAATTTAAAGATTTTTAATGGGACATGACAAAGGGTCGTGGAAAGGGGCAGAACAATGTCTGCCTGGCAAGCTAGTATTATATATATTACCCGTCTATTTGATAAATTTTAAGGGCAAACGTCGTTCCTATTATAATTGTTGCGCGGATAGCTGCTAAATGACTAACAAAAAGTTTCAGATATATGATTCTTTAAGTTACCGAAGGATTTAATTAGGAAATTATGAAAGCTGTATTCATTACATTTTGGTACCTACTTACTTATGGCAAAAAAGATTTAAGTAATAATTTATTTACAGAAGTCACACCTACGTAACTTTATGACAAAACTTAGTTGAAATTTACTTCACTATCCAGGCATCTACTTACATACTTATACTTATCCTTTTTTATTAAAATATTTTTAGTTATAATTACGTAATATACTGAAAACAAAACTATCTACTCACAAAATTTTTAATAAAGTGGAATACGAATGTTAGAAATCATATTTGAAGTTTATTTGTTGTTTCTTCCGGCCAAACATCGCGATTCCCAACGAATGGCCTTGCAAGTTGCATGCGTTGGGCATCGCAGAACTCACATTGGTGCGAAAATATGGTCAGTCGATCATAGTCAGAATAGGTACTTCACCTAAGTAACTTAATTAACATTTCGCAATGTATTTTTTTACTTTTTATTGACATCCCTTATTAACCACGGAATATCCACCGTGACAAGAAGGAGAAAAGATGCAAAGTAATATGGACACTCGCGCGTAGCGGTAAAGTTTTATTTAGCTTGCGTGCACTATTTATACATTTAATAATAATTATGTAGGCTATTAAAAGTCGGCAAGCAGTCAACATCAAAAATGTGTAACTTCTGTACGTAGTACTGGGTCTAGGTGGGTGGTGGTAATTTATTCTGTGGTATATGGACACTGGCGCGCAGCGATAAAATTTTTATTTAGCTTGCGTGGGCTATTTATTCAATTAACAATAATTATGTAGGCTATTAAAAGTCAGTCAGCAGTCAACATCAAAAAAGTGTTACTTCTGTACGTAGTACAATTATTTATTCTGTGGTCGAGGTGGGTACGACATTCCTATACTACCCAGCTTAGCATAGCATAGCTAACTAACACTAACTGATTAATCTTGTTATCCACGGAATAAAACCAATTTTACGGACTTTATGTATTTATTGTCAAAATGGCATCGTTAAAGCAGTGCCCTTTTGACCCTTTATTATTTGATTGTACTGATGAAGAGCTATCGGATTGCAAAGCCATCTATGCAAACAAGGCTGTAGGTTTTGAGTTACAAGAAAGTCTCCCCCATAGACTGCCTCATGCGAAAATATGGTCAGTCGATCATAGTCAGAATAGGTACTTCACCTAAGTAACTTAATTAACATTTCGCAATGTATTTTTTTACTTTTTATTGACATCCCTTATTAACCACGGAATATCCACCATGACAAGAAGGAGAAAAGATGCAAAGTAATATGGACACTCGCGCGTAGCGGTAAAGTTTTATTTAGCTTGCGTGCACTATTTATACATTTAATAATAATTATGTAGGCTATTAAAAGTCGGCAAGCAGTCAACATCAAAAAAGTGTTACTTTTGTGCGTATTATATATCGCATGGCTATGTAGGTAACATCCTATATACCCGGCTTTAGCATAGCATAGCTAACACTAACTGATTAATCTTGTTATCCATGGAATAAACCCAATTTTACGGACTTTATGTATTGACTGTCAATGGCGTCGTTAAAATAGCGCCCTTTTGATCCTTTATTATTTTATTGTACCGATGAAGAGCTATCAGATTACAAAGCCATCTTTGCAAACAAGGCTGTAGATTTCGATTTACAAGAAAATCTCCCCCACGAGGCAGTCTTTGGGGGAAGCCTATGTCCTGCAGTGGACTTTTATAGACTGTGATAGACGGATGTATGGAAAAAAGATATTTCTTTATTTCTTGATTTGTTGTATTATTTGCAGCATTTCCTGAGCGAAACAGATCTAGATAAAGAGAACTTTCCGGACAGAGGCGTTAAGCTGATAGAAAAGCTGATTGCCCTCGAGCAGGAGATGAGACATAAGAGTTCAAAGGTCAAAAAAATGGTAGTTGCAACAGGTATGTTATACTTTAGCTTAACAACAAAAACCAACACAACATTTATCATCCTTCCCTACACTACCTACACTACACTACAAACACTTCACTCAAAATCACAAACACATATACATACATTCTTAAACATATATTTACAAAACAAAACACTACTAGATGTACATATGTACACATGCACTGTATTTAGTAAAATGCATACCTTAAAATACCCTTAAATATTTTCCAGTATTTTAAATGTTTAATATTATGTCTACAAAGTTGTAGCGATATGTTATAATATTTTTATATAAAGTAAGAACCTGTAATTGGTAGTAGAAAATGTAAATATTTACTAACTTTATAATTGGTGGCGCTAGTCGCTTTGTTCCTTATTTTAAAACCGGAATGAAGGGCCACAAAATGGTAAATCGGCAGGCTTTCTGGGTTCGAATCCGGAAACGGATGGTCACAAAATAGTTAGGGTGAATGGGTTGCCCTTCGTATCCGAAGCGAAGAAACCACAAAAAGGTGCGGCCACAGGTTCTCGGGTTTGATTTCCGGGAACAATTGCCTCAAACCATTGGGTGCAAGAATTTCTAAAGTGGACTGTATTTAGCGTGGCTCACTATAATCAAAACAAAGTGGCGGCGGACGTGGCACGTGGTCGGTTTAAGACGATACACTCTGCTATGACCTAATTTACTACATCAGCTGGCACGGCAGGAGCATGAGCTTCTGTGGGAAAAGAACAACAAATGAGAACAGCTCAAGATAGGAAAGAGTACTTACTTGCGCGTTGATCTTCTGACTGCCTCCTACTTAGGCCTAAAGGTTAATGGCGCTACGTTGCAACTGCAGTGGTGCGCAGCGACAAATGCACTGGGGTTGACTGTCGCCACCACGACGAATTATTTGCACTAGTGCACGACGGATAGCACTGTGCAAGCGGTTACTACAAAATTGTTTTGTGGCCCGACTGCAACAGAGGTGCTATCATATCCAACTTCGAGCTACAACTGCTCGAGCTGCGACGGCACGTCGGCGACTCTGGTCTGGTGTTTCCCGTCCATTACACTTTTTTGTCGTTGGGCGATCAAATTGACGCCACCATGTCAGGCCTCCTATTGGCATGCCTGTGTGTGAAGGAACCAGGGAGTGAACAGGCAGAATATTACCAACTAATAAACTAAGTAACGAACGCAGATATGTGTTTGTTTCGACGCAAACAATAATGATACAAAATGCTGAAGTGATAGGTTCAATGTTATGTTAATGTGTAAATAATAAACGTGTAAGTTATTCGCGATATCTTTATTATCACGTTATTCCAGGGGATGAGAGACTTTTGGTGCAACTGCTCATCGAGTGGCTCGAATTCCGACCAAAAATTTTGTTAAGTACTGTTTTTTTTTTGCCGAGAAAACTCCCATTAGCATTCCAGAGTCATGAAGTTTGCGTGTTTCACCCTCGTGTTTCAACATGTAAACGTCGCTAGCCGTACGCTTGATTCGGACGTGTCAGATTGCCTTTCAATGAAAGAATACAGAGTGCACCTGTGCATGCGCACACACTCTTGCACTATAATTCTGTCTTGCGCAGATCGAAACTAGCTGCCGTAAACTAAATTTGGTCTGAAGGGCATTATATTATTCCTGTAGGTTGTTATACTTAACAAGCAAGGATCTGTAGATAATAAATAATAGGTCTTTACCTTGAACGAATTAACCACTGGATCCGACATAAAACACAAATGTATGAAAACTCGTTCAACCAAGTGGAGAATAACGCGCACGGGGATCTTATTACGTTAATGTAAATGTAATGTAACAGACACGAAATTCGTAGAAGTTTAATCTATTTTTAGTGCTTGATCGTAGTCTGATGAATGATTGATAAAGAAAAGGCGTATCATAAATAAGATGTAAAACAAAGGAAATAAAGGGATAATGAATGTGAGTTAAGCTTCCGATATTTAAATTTGAATTAAAATAAAAGAAGCAGGACATTTTTATAAACTTTATACAATTATAGTTATGATAAACGTCAAATGTTTTGTTAAGTTTAAATTATTTTAGTAGGTCTACCGACTTATTATGTATCGTCTTTCTTAAAATGTGTTTCTTAGAATTTGTTGTGTTCGCTTGTTTTCTTATATAAGCAAGTCTAATCTTTAAATACTTTTCAGCAACGGCTTTCGTTAATTTTTCGACGTGATTCACGTCGTCGTTTTCAAATTTATGGAAATGAATGTCTTCGTACAACGGAAGTTGCAGCAATGTTTCTGTTACTTTCGGCAGAAGAAAGTCTGTTGTGTAATCTTTTTTTTAGACTTTTATTCTGAACACCCTTCTTAAGTTCGAGTTCGCAGTGCTAACAAATAGCTATGGTATCACTTGAGGGAAGTATCAGTTTTCCCTTGTCTTTACGGGCAATGAGACTGCCTTCATTGGTGTCATTTTCTGTTTCTTTGCATTAATATTAAAACAGGCAGTATCTTAATATACACTGCATATTATGGCGCTGTGTTTCGTCGGGATCCAGGTTTCATCTTTACGAACTGCTTCTACCCACTTTCTCTTCCGAGAAGGGTCACTGGGAAATCTGAAAATTCATGTAATTTATATTTTTGCGTTTATAATATTTTTATTTAATTATAAAAAATATTATTATAAATTTAACGACATTAGATTGTAGGATACTGTTATATGTATAAGTATTTTTAAGTGTTATTGTATTGTACAAATAACATCATCATACATTCGGTCATATCTTCAAATATCGATATATTTTTCGACATGGTGAAGCAATAGTCGATGTCAAATTGACTCACTCCACAATTTTAGTCACTTCTGAATGGTATAATACAAACAAAAACAAACGACCAAGCCCAAAATTGCTTGGTTACTGACAAGACCGATATAGGTACGTCCGCACATATGTCGGGTCCAGTGGTTAAATCGTTCAAGGTCTCTACATATGAAATTGGCATTTTGTACGGGAGGAATATAAAGTCAATTTTTTTTTGCAAAAGATATTTAATTAATCAAGGTACGTTTACCACGTGCTCGGCGGTGAAGGAAAACATCGTGAGGAAACCTGCATGTCTGAGGAATAAGAAAAAAAAATATTTCGAAGACATGTGAAGTTCGCCAACACGCAATGGGGCAGCGCGGCGGACACTTCCTTGCCCTAACCCCCCCCCCCCCCCCTCAGAAATGAGGGGAGGCCTGTGCCCAGCAGTGGGACGTATATAGGCTGTAACTTTACTTTACTTTAATCAAGGTACGCACCGTTGTTATCTATGCACTGTTTCCATCTCATGGGTAGTTCATTGATCCCTTTACTAAAAAAAACCATGGGGGTGAGAATCAATAAACTCTTTGAAGGCGGTTTGGACTGCCGCATCGGAGTTGAATTTTTTTGGTCCAAATTCCAGAAAAAATTGTAATACGTTGGAGCAAGGTCCGCGGAGTACGGTGGATGTCGCAGAAATCCTAATTGTAGCTCATCTAACGTAGTGGTTGTTTGTTGTGCAGTGTGTGGTCTTGCGTTGTCGTGAAGCAGCAGTGGCCTACAGCGATTGACCAATCTCGGTTGTTTAGCAGCTAGTTCTTGTTTCATGGCTTACAGTTGCTGACAAAAGATATCTGCCGTAATCGTTTGGCCAGATTTTAGAAAACTGTAGTGAATGACACCGGCGCTAGTCCACCAAACACTCACAAGTAACTTTTATTGAGTCAATTTTCGTTTAGAGCAGGATTTGGCTGGGTCTCAAGGGTTCAGCCACTGCGACGAGCATTTGCAATTATCGTACAGTATCCACTTTTTATCACAAGTAATGATTCGATTTAAAATTGTTTCATTTTTGTGTCAGTTGAGCAAAGTAATGCAGCAGTCGACGCGTATTTGCAAGTTCGATTCACTCAATTCATGAGGTACCAACCATCGTTCAAGTTTTTTTTACTTTCCCGATTCAAACTCCCTTCCACTTCTACTTGAAGTCGCTTCAAGTGGATTAATACAGTTTTATCCCTTACCTCGAAGCCTGCAGCTATCCCTGAAGTGTTTTGAGATGGATCCGCTTGCACAATAACCTTTAATTCTACATTTCCCACTGTGGTCTGCGGCCGTTCTCGGGGTTGGTTCTGAAAGTCGAAATTTCCAGAACGAAAACGTTGAAACCAAACCTCGCTTTGTTTTGCGACACCAGCACCATACACATCATCAATCCTTCGAGCTGTTTCTGCAGCACTGGTGCCACGGTAGAACTCGTACTCGTAAATATACCGATATTTCATGTTTTCCATTGTGCGGTAATAAGCGACGCCAAAGAAAAAAATAATGAGGAAAAAAACAAACGAATGACTGCTTCCAAAACTCAAAGTACCAGCTAAATGAATTTATAAGTTTGAATTTGGAATCTTTACCAAAGAGGAGATATTTTAGATCAAAGTGGTCAGTACGACAAAACGCTAATTTCATGTGTAAGGACCCAATAATAAAAAAAACGAATAAGTGAAGCAATTAATTTGTTGTCGTTACCTTAAATTGATTTATAAATTAAATTAAATAAAAATCATAATTATTTTGTTTTTCGTCGTTTTGTTTTTAGTTTATCTAATACATGAAATTGATATTTGTTTGTTCCTAATTTGTGCGCCGCCATACCGTTCATCAGATTGCTGTAACACATTGCTTGCCCTTCCGCGAAGGTTATAGCCATAGTTGGACCTGGTAGGTGGCGCTGTTGTAGAACCCATATATCATATACCCGTGCGTAGTCGGGGCAGATCACTAATAACATATAAGAAAATAACTAAGTGCAGACATGTTTATCTATTTAATTTATTTAGTCAGTTTAATTTAATAATCACTATCATTCACATACCGTCTAGTGGCATTGTAAGAATATCCACTACCCCCATTACATCCCGTGGGTGTTGATAGACGCGACAACGGGAAACAAATCAGTGCACTCCGAATAACAATTAAAAATATGAAAACTGTGGTTGTCAATCCGCTTGCCAAACGGCAAATATGGCAAATATAACCCCTATGAGGCAATCTATGGGGGAGGCCTATGTTTGGCAGTCGACTTTCATAGGCTGTAATAGATGGATGTGTATAATACAGTAGAATCTTGATAACTTAAACCTCGACAACGTAATAACCTCTATACATTCATAAAATTTTGTGTTGCCTTCTAATCCGAGTTAGAACGAAGAGGTTACAACTTTTTGGATTTTCCTTTGCAACTTCAATCAATTATCAATGAGTAATTTTAAAAAAATGTGCAAACAATAAAGGTTCCCTGTAGACCATTGTTATTGTTTACACATGTTTACCAAATGGTTTCAAATGTAAAGAATACGCTAAGATCTAAAGTACAGTAAGTTATTTGTATCATTAGCTATTTTGTAGAGAATTTTACGATCTTTTATAAAGCGATGCAGTAACACACAGGATGATTTTTCTCTTGTTTATTTAATATTGAAAATATGGTTGATATAGAAAGTGTGAATAGTTGAAACAAAAAAATTACCGACTTTTTTATCCCCCTAGATCCCGGCGACCCCATCGAGGTGGTGTACGTGCAGAAACACGTGCGGGAGAACGAACTTGCCAAACTTATGGGGCTCCAGAAAGACTTTCGTAATATTCAGGTAACCATGCTAATATCTTCCACATCATCATCATTCTCTAAACCATTTCCCATTATCTGGGGTCGGCGCAGTAAATCTTCTTGTTCCATTCCTCTCTATCAGCCGTCATTTCCATACTTACTCCTTTCATTCTCATATCACTCTTCACACAATCGATCCATCTTTTATTCGGCCTTCCTCTGCCCGTGTGTCCCTCCACATTCATATTCAACACTCGTTTTGTGACATGACTTTCATCCCTCCGCATCACATGCCCAAACCATGCCAATCTGCTTCCTCTCACCTTTTCTACCACTGGCGTTACTTTCAGGCTTCCTCTTATATACTCATTCCTTATCTTATCCATCCTTGTCACACCACACATCCATCGTAACATTCTCATTTCATTCGCATGCAGTCTATTTTCATCCTTCTTCTTGACGGCCCAGCATTCACTTCCATACATGATATCTTCCACATCTGGTTTTATAATTACACTAATGTTAAAGGCTCGCTGCCCGCTGTGCAATGAAAAGGGAAACAGGCTTGCCGTAAGGCCCGTAAGTGCGACAGAGAGAGCAAAGCTCTACAGGAGGCGCGGGGTACTGTCTCCCCGTTTTATTGCACCGCGGGCAGCGAGTCCTTACCATTAGTATATGTGGTGAAATGAATCAATTTGTTTAGGAGTCTAGGCGGGCCTCTGTCACTACCTGCGTGAAATAATTACCTAAAATCACGACGCACCTAGGGTGAAATACGCAGTCGGGGCTGGCATGTTCTGGGCGATAGACCCCTTTTTTACTGGAAACGAGGCATTCCATCTCAGTCCTCACGGGTGACAACGCATCTGCATTTTGATTTTTAATGGAGGATAGATGTAGATGTCTATGGGCCGCAGCAACCACTTACCATCAGGTGGACTGTGTGCTCGTTTGTCACCCTATTCTATACAAAAAAAAAAAAATAGAATGTTAAAGCTTTTTACGTTGTTTATGTAAATATTTGTTGAAATAGTTTTTGTTAAGTGTTTAGTATATTTAATTGCAGGATTAAATCCTTAAAGCATTTTAATGTAATTTACATATTATATATCTTAATATACAATATGTAACGTAATTAACGCACACCCTCAGACACCCTAATTAGTTTATTATGTTATAATAATAATACATACACTGAATTTTTAGTTAAACATTTTTATGCACTGATTATTTATCAAATTATACTAATTCCGGAAGAATGTTGTGCTCACAGTACAAATCCACGAACGCAGACTTTAACGGTCTTGAAATAAAGTTCATTTTTCTTTATTTTTATTGAATGACAGAATTAGTAATAATACAAATAAAACTGCACTCTTAAAAGGTTGCCCGTTACGGTCCATTTCAGTTTGTTTTGACTGTACAGATTTAGTGTGACTGTAATTTACGTAGTTTTATTTTTGAGATAAAAATTACCTATATTAAAAATTATAGGAATCGATTCAGTAAACGATTCTGAACAAACTACTTTCTCAAAGTGTGTTAATTACACATGTTGTATATAAATTATGTGTCACGATGTTTGTCCGCGATGGACTACCGAACTACTCAACCGTTTTTATTAAATTTGCACACCGTGTGCAGTTTAGTCGAAATTGAGAGATAGGATAGTTTATTTGCCCATAAGTGACCCACAATTATTTTTTGCGAATTTAAAGATTTTTAATGGGACATGACAAAGGGTCGTGGAAAGGGACAGAACAATGTCTGCCTGGCAAGCTATACTTACATACATATACTTATCCTTTGTTAAAATATTTTAGGTTATAACTACATAATATACTGAAAATAAAACTATATACTCACAAGATTTTTAACAAAGTAGAATACGAATGTTAGAAATCATATTTGAAGTTTATTTGTTGTTTCTTCCGAGCCAAGCATCGCGATTCCCAAAGAATGGCCTTGCAATTGCATGCCTTGGACATCCCAGAACTCATATAGGTGCGAAAATATGGTCAGTCGATCATAGTCAGAATAGGTACTTCACCTACGTAACTTAATTAATATTTCGCAATGTATTTTTTTACTTTTTATTGGCATCCCTTATTAACCACGGAATATCCACCGTGACAGGAAGGAGAAAAGATGCAAAGTAATATGGACACTCGCACGCAGCGGTAAAGTTTTATTTAGCTTGCGTGCACTATTTATACAATTATAATAATTATGTAGGCTATTAAAAGTTGGCAAGCAGTCAATATCAAAAAAGTGTTACTTCTGTACGTAGTACAATTATTTATTCTGTGGTCGAGGTGGGTACGACATTCCTATACTACCCAGCTTAACATGGCATAGCTAACTAACGCTGATTAATCTTGTTACCCATGGAATAAATCCAGTTTTACGGACTTTATGTATTGACTGTCAAATGGCGTCGTTAAAGTAGCGCCCTTTTGATCCTTTATTATCTGATTGTACCGATGAAGAGCTATCGGATTACAAAGCCATCTATGCAAACAAGGCTGTAGGTTTTGAGTTACAAGAAAGTCTCCCCCATGAGGCAGTCTATGGGGGAAGCCTATGTCCTGCAGTGGACTTTTATAGACTGTGATAGACGGATGGATGGAAAAAAAGATGTTTCTTTATTTCTTGATTTGTTGTATTATTTGCAGCATCTCCTGAGCGAAACCCATCTAGATACATTTCCGGACAGAGGCGTTAATCTGATAAAAAAGCTGACAGCCCTCGAGCTGGAGATGAGATATCTGGGCGAAAAAGTCGCCAAAATGGTGGTTGTATCAGGTATGTTATCCTTTAGCTTAACACCGAAAACCAGCACAACATTTATTTTAACGTCCTTCCCTACACTACCTACACTACACTACAAACACTTCACTCAAAATCACACACACATATACATACATTCTTAAACATATATTTACAAAACAAAACACTACTAGATGTACGTATGTACACAGCACTGTATTTAGTAAAATGCATACATTAAAATACCCTTAAATATTTTCCAATATTTTAAATGTTTAATGCTTTTTAATATTATGTCCCCAAAGATGTAGCGATATGTTATATTATCTGTAGGCGCATCTATAAAATGCCGGTTGGATAGTGACTAGTTGAAATTGAGGGTATATCGAGAAACCCTTACACTCGTTAGTGCAGTTTAAAGTTCAGTGTAGGGGCCGAGCGCGAGAGAGTCCACTTGAGTCATTTCACGAGTGAAGTCATTCTAGATAGTCGTTGTTCTGTCTATTGTGGTGATTCTTCTGGTGCAGTCAAGGAGGATGGAGTTGCTGAGAGGCTCTGCTGTGTTACGTTGAGATGGGTAAGATTTCTGTTGGTTTGCATAATTTGGTGTTATCATGTAATTGTGTCCTTCACATTGCACTGGTGTGTAATTTTGATGGTATGGTAATGTCAAACTGTAATTACTCTATGCTGAATGTATAGTGCGTTACGCTGTTCTATTATTGATAATGATAAATTGCGCAAGCAAGAGAGCGAGCTGAACATCAGTTCTCAAAATAGTTAGGGTGATTAAGTTGCCCTTCGTATCCCAAGCCGAAATCCGGAGAACAACAAATGAGAACAGCTCTAGATAGGAAAGGGTACTTACTTGCACGTCGATCTTCTGATTGCCTCTTACTTAGGCCTCGAGGTTGATGACGCTACGTTGCAACTGCGGTGGTGCACGCCGACAAATGCACTGGGGTTGACTAATGGCACCACGACGAATTAATTGCACTAGTGCACGGCGGATAGCACTGTGCAAGCGATTACTACAAAATTGTTCTGTAGCCCGACTGCCACAGAGGTGCCATATCCAATTTCGAGCTTCAAATGCTCGAAATGCGACGGCACGTCGGCGACTCTGGTTGGCGCCGGCGGCGGTTTCCGATCCTTTACACTTTTTTCTCATTGGGCGATGAAATAAACATCACCATGTCTAGCCTCCTATTGGCATGCCTGTGAAGGATATTACCAGCTAATAATATCAAATAATAACTAAGTAACGAACGCAGATGTGTGTTTATTTCGACAAACCAATAATGTTACAAAATGCTGAAGTGATAGGTTTAATGTTATGTTAATGTTTTAATATAAAAAGTGTAAGATATTTGTGATATCTTTATTGTCATGTTATCCCAGTGGATGAGAGTCTTTTGGTGCAACTGCCCATCGTGTGGCTCGAATTCCGACCAAAAATTTTGGTACTGTTTTTTTTGCCGAGAAAACTCTAATTAGCAGTCCGGAGTCATGAAGTTTACGTGTTTCAACAGTTTCGTTGGCCGTACGCTTGATTCGGACGTATCAAATTGCCTTCCCATGAGGGAATACAGAGTGCACCTGTGCATGCGCACACTTTCTTACACTATAATTCTGTCTTGCGCTAATCGAAACTAGCTGCCGTAAACTAAATTTGGTCTGAAGGGCATTATATTATTCCTGTAATCTGTTATACTTAACAAGCAAGGATCTGTAGACAATAAATAATAGGTCCTTACATATGAAATTGGCATTTTGTACGGGTGGAATATAAACTTAATTTTTTTGTAAAATATATTTAATTAATCAAAGTATGCACCGTTGTTATCTATGCAATTTTGCCATCTCATAGGTAGTAGTAGTTCATTGATCCCTTCACCCTTCAAAAACCATGGGGGCGAGAATCAATAAACTCTTTGAAGGCGGTTTGGACTGTCGCATCGGAGTTGAATTTTTTTCTTGTAAGATGTTATCTAAATTGCAGAGAAAAAATGTAATCTGTTGGTGCAAGTTCCGGGGAGTAAGGTGGATGTCGCAGAAATTCCAATTGTAGCTCATCTAACGTAGTGGTTGTTTGTTGTGCAGTTTGTGGTCTTGCGTTGTCGTGAAGCAGCAGTGGCCTACAGCGATTGACCAATCTCGGTTGTTTAGCAGCTAGTTCATCCTTCATGGCTTGCAGTTGCTGACAATAAATATCTGCCGTAATCGTTTGGCCAAATTTTAGAAAACTGTTGTGAACGACACCGGCGCTAGTCCAACACTCACAAGTAAGCTTTTTTGAGTAAATTTAAATAACTTAAACGTAATAAAAATAATTTAAACGTTTTGTTTTTAGTTTATCTAATACATGAAATTGATATTTGTTTGTTCTTAATTTGTGCGCCGCCATACCGTTCATCAGATTGCGGTAACACATTGCTTGCCCTTCCGCGAAGGTTATAACCATAGTTGGTCCTGGTAGGTGGCGCTGTTGTAGAACCCATATATCACCCGTGCGTAGTCGGGGCAGATCACTAATAACATATAAGAAAATAACTAAGTGCAGACATGTTTATCCATAATCCATAAACATCCATAAACACTCACGCCTGTCACCCAGAGGGGTAGGCAGAGACTACAGATTTCCATTTGGCACGATCCTGACACACCTCTCTCGCCTCCTTTACACCTACGCATACGTGCTCGTCGGTTAAGGGTACTCCTAATTTGGCCCGTTTCCAATAAATCGCCAATTTGGTCGATAAATTTTCCCTTTCCGACTCTGCCATTCACTTCTGCAACATAAATTTTCTTTGTCACTCTTTCCTCATTCATTCTTTCCACATGACCAAACCATCGAAGCATTCCTTTCTTAATCCTGGTCACAACATCATCTTGCAAACCACACTCTTCTCTTATTACACAATTTCTTACCCTGTCATTCATATTCAGCCCTAACATACTCCTTAACGACCGCATTTCTCCTGGTTTTATTCTACTCTCGTGCTTCTTCTGCCACACCCAACTCTCACCACCATACGTTAAAGTAGGGATAAACACAGCATTGTGAATTGCCATACGCGCCTTTTTCGACACATTTTGACTCTTCACAATAGAGTGCAAGGCCCCATTAACTCTATTTCCCGCATTCACTCGTCGTTCTATATCCTTATCATATCTCCCATCCCTGCTAAATACGCAGCCCAAATATACAAACTCATCCACTTGCTCGATCAAATCCCCTTCTATTCTTATTTCACAAATCGTTTTAATTTCTTCTCTTTCAAAAACCATAACCTTCGTCTTACTTGCGTTCACTTTCATACCCTTTTCTTTTAATGATCCGTTCATTAATGTAACCATAATTTGCAAATCGGCCGCCGACGACGCAAGAATGACTTGGTCATCGGCGTACAAAAGGCATTTGACGGTTAACTCACCCATTCTTAATCCGCATTCTTCAACTTTCAAATTTTGCAAACAACTGTCCATAAATAGGTTGAACAGCCACGGGGAAGCCACACAGCTCTGTCTGACACCTTTATGGATGTCAAACCAGTCCGAGTATACCCCGTTGATCCTAACACAAGCACTAGAGTCCCTATAAAGAGACTCCAATGCCTGTATCAAGCCAGCGCTCAACCCAAATGAGTTCAGTGTTTGCCATAGCAAATCCCTATCCACTCTGTCATAGGCCTTTTCCAAGTCCATGAACGCACAAAAAACCTTTTGGTTTTTGACCAGAAACTTCTCCGCAATCATGCGCATGGAAAAGACTTGATCTGTACATCCCATTCCCTTTCTAAATCCCGCTTGCACATCCCAAATTTTTCCATCAGTTTCTTTCATGACCCTTTCAATCAGTACCTTAGCGTACAGTTTTCCCACAATGCTAAGAAGGCTGATGCCACGGTAGTTTTTACAGTCCTGCTGCGACCCTTTTCCTTTATATACTGGGACTATCACGGCTTTGCACCAGTCTACCGGTACCCGCTTCAGTTCTCAGCATAAATTAAACAAGGTGTGCAGCAGGCCTGCCACCACCTCCTCTCCAGCCCTTAGCATTTCGAGTGAAACTCTATCATATCCGGGCGCCTTACCCGCTTTCATGCTTTTCATTGCTTTCATTATTTCATCTATACTTATCTCGCTACCTCTTTCCTCTTCTTTCGGAGTTTCTACTTCACTCAGTACACATGTTGTCTCCTCACTCATAAACACGCTTTCAAAAAATTCCTTCCATCTCTTTAAACTCAAAACTTCATCATTCAGAATATAGCCATTCTCGTCTCTTATAGTATTCATCATAGGCTGTTTTGAATGTCCCCTGGCAGTTCTTACCAGTTTCCAGAACATTTTAATATTTGCCTGGAAGTTATCCGATATTCTTCTATCATTCTTATCCGTTCTTTCTTGCTTTTTTCTTTCAATTACTTCTTTTACTCTCTTATTAAGATGTCTAAAGACCGCCTTTTTTATTTCAATATCATTCGTACCGCTAGAATTACCAGCCTTTGTTGCTAGTAAATCTAGCCATGCTCTCTTCTTTGCTTCAACTTCCATACGTATCTCATCATCCCACCATAACGTATTATTTTTCCTTTCATTCATTCTCTTGCTAACACCACACACTTCGGTAGCTGCATGCACTAAACCTTTCTTTAAATTTTGCCATACATTCTCCAAGTCTAACTCCTTCATACATAATTCATCCAAACCACTTATATTTTCTTTCAGTCCACATTTGAACTTGTTTCTCTCACCTTCATCTTGCAACCTTTCTGTTCTAATACGCTGTAACGCAGTGGTAGACACAGATGACCGATGACGCCAACGCCTGAATATACCATTAATTTGGCATAAAACCAAATAATGATCCGTTCCTACGTTAGAACCCCGGTAAACCCTTGTATCCACCACTGCGCCCCTCCATCTTTCATCCACAATTATGAAATCTATCATGCTTCTATCGTCACCTCTTTCCCAAGTATACATATGAATCCTCTTGTGGCGAAAGCAAGTGTTCGTCACATAAAGATTCTTTTCCATACATACGGTGAGGAGACTTTCACCATTCTCATTTATACTTTCGTCACTAAACGTTCCCAATATCCTTTCATAACCAAGCCTCCTCACCCCAACCCTTCCATTAAAATCCTATCATAATAATATTTTCATTTCCCTTACACTTCATTAACACCATCCTTACCATTTCCCAAAACTGCTCTCGGATATAAGTGGGCTTAGACATGTCTGGGGCGTAGACCCCTAACACGAACAACTTCTTTAAGCCCACTTTCATTCGTATCCATAGCAGTCTTGGGCTTACACATTCATACTCTTTCACACATTGGCCCATTCTTTCTGAAAGGATGATACCTACTCCCTGGAATGCCCGCTCGATCTCGTCTACACCAGACCAGTATGCGGTATACATGCCATGTGTAGTGACATCCTTCCCCTTCCTTTTCGTCTCATTTACGCATAACACATCTATTCCTCTATCATACATCATATCGCATACTTCATCCATTTTATCATTCATTGCCCCACATACATGTTTATCTATTTAATTTATTTAGTCAGTTTAATTTAATAATCACTATCATTCACATACCGTCTAGTGGCATTGTAAGAATATCCACTACCCCCATTACATCCCGTGGGTGTTGATAGACGCGACAACGGGAAACATATCAGTGCACTCCGAATAACAATTAAAAATATGAAAACTGTGGTTGTCAATCCGCTTGCCAAACGGCAAATATGGCAAATATAACCCCTATGAGGCAATCTATGGGGGAGGCCTATGTTTGGCAGTCGACTTTCATAGGCTGTAATAAATAGATGGATGTGTATAATACAGTAGAATCTTGATAACTTAAACCTCGACAACGTAATAACCTCTATACATTCATAAAATTTTATGTTGCCTTCTACTCCGAGTTAGAACGAAGAGGTTACAACTTTTTGGATTTTCCTTTGCAACTTCAATCAATTATCAATGAGTAATTTTAAATAAATGTGCAAACAATAAAGGTTGCCTGTAGACCATTGTTATTGTTTACACATGTTTACCAAATGGTTTCAAATGTAAACAATACACTAAGGTCTAAGTACAGTAACTTATTTGTATTATTAGCTTTTTTATAAAGAATTTTACGATCTTTTATAAAGCAATGCAGTTACACACAGGATGATTTTTCTCTTGTTTATTTAATATTGAAAATAAGATTGACATAGAAAATGTGAATAGTTGAAACAAAAAATTACTGACTTTTTAATGTAGAATATTATAAACTGGAATAATTGTATCTTTAAACCTAAAATAAAGCTAGTATGTATATATGTAATAACATTTAAAAGTTTCATTTGCATTTAACCTAGCTCGTCTATCAATGTATGTGATTCCTAAACAAAGCTCATAAACGAACCTCTGTAAATACAAATATAAACCAATAAAAACTCCTTAACTTAAACCCTTAGTAATTAAAAACCTCAATAACTCAAATTATTTAACGTTTCCCTTGGTCTTCCTTTTCTTATCGAGGTTCTACTGTATATGTATAGATGGATGAAGATAATCTACCAGGAGTACATAACCCACTAAGAGGTGAAATTATTAAATCCACAGTAACATTACAACTATGGTATCATGAAGCAATTTAAGGGGGACATAGTATTATAAAGTAATCATTGTGTTTTTTAATTTAATAGTGTCCTGCACACTGCATAGCAAAATTTGTAAATAAAAATAAAATTTTACTAATTTGGTACATTATTAACAAAACGTGTATCAATGAAGCCTATAAGTATCTCTTGATCTCATTGAGATCCCATTATAGAATTTTGCTGTATATATTAAGAGATTATAAACTATATTTGGTAATTTTTGGAATTTTTTAAAGTTTTCACTTGTTAAAAATTTAAATTTTAAAATTCAATCTTACGGCACACCATATTAAGCTCCATTCAACAGCTTTGAAATGAGACCACTCCTAGGTTTATTTCATAGTTGGTTGCGAGCCTATAGGCAACCAAAGATGTCATAAAAATTTAAATCTTTAAAAATTAATAACTTCAAAAATAATTGTAAATTTCTTAATTTTAATTTTTCGCGCAACAACACAAGTCTGTAATATATTGCTTATATATATTGCTGCATAAAAAAATCATGAAAATGTGAGACATCAATTCTGAATCAGTGCGTTGATTTGACATGGATGACCCCTTTGTCTTGCTCTGCAATGATTGGTTACAGGCCGATGGTAATAAATAATGATATACAAAATATTTATTCCCTATTATTTATGCGGATACTATAATTCAATAATTATTACAACCTATCAAAACTCCACTGCTGGACGTATATGCACTCCCCTTAGATGTGGGAGGATGTTTTTGCCATAGTTGCCACGTTAAGCATCCCGGCCTTTACAATTCAAAATAAAAAAGTCCACTGCTGAACATAGGCCTCTCTCATGGATTACCTCATAGGGAGGATTTTGCAATAGTTGCCACGCCTGGCGGGCGGGTTGGTAACCACGGCTGTTTATTACTTTTACTTGTTATCAAGAAGGTGCTGCTGCTCATCTCCTGGTCTGTTTTTCTCTGTCTCTTTTTACGACACCCACGGTATGCTAAGGGTAGAAGAACATCCACTCTTTTCTGCTGCTACTTCACGGCTACATGCTAATATACCCTTCTTATTGTTTGACCTTAGTATTTTATGCACAATTTTAAATTTACACAGATAACTCAATGACCGAAGACGTCCCTCGAGATGGGTTTAAGGGAGATGAAAAGGGGCCTTCCTGGGATGACATACAAAAGGCCACTAACGCAGTACAGCCTAGTACGTCGGGCAAACAAGGTATGTATCAATCTTTTATATTTAAAATAGTTTAGTTATCTACACAATAATACGTGAAGTGAAAAATTTGTACATCTTTTTAAGGGGAAATAGTAAAAATACTACCTTAAATTGCTTAACAAGATCCTTCGTTATGCCGAAATTATTGCAGCATTAATTTTGAAATAAATATATGGTAAAGTTGAGGAATAATGTCAAGTACTATGTTAGATGAAAACACGATTCCGTAAAATTTTCTTGATAGAAAAAAATGCAAAGTTACCTCCAAACTGAATAATGGACTACTGGTATTCATAAAATACTTTAAATTAGATCATGAAACTTTGCATATTAACTGAACTAACTATAGAGCAGGGCTTATGTTTTTTAATTACCATTATTTTCATTGTAAAACAAAATTACCTAAATGATCGGTGTCTTGAAGCTTGTTTGGTGCCACCCGATCAGTCTCCATCAGTCTCACATCGGCTTTCGAAGGGATAAGCTGTGTCGGTTACAATCAGAATATAAAATATATATTCTGATTATATACATAGACATATTATCGTCTATCGCTTCTTATTTTTGTCGTATTATAAAAATAAGAAGACTGGGTTGGCGTAAAATACAGGCATAAAAATGATAAGCCTAATGAAATAAGTATCTAACTACCTATCCACTTACGGTATTAGTGATTACAAACATGTCGGTACATTGCATATGACGCGCGGGGAAGGGAGCGAAAGTAGAATTTGAGCTGATTTACAATAGCCTCTTAAGCATATTGCGCGCACGGGGTAGTGTAATGCCCCATTTACATTCAGCCCTGTTGGGCAGGGAAGTGAGCAGGGCAGTGGGCAGGGCAGTAAGTAAACAGGCTACTCGCGCTGACACTGCCGCTGCCGCTGCCACTGCCCGACGATCGCTCAAATGTCGGTTTTTCGTGCGGAAGTCAAAGGACGGGCAGCGCGAGCGGCAGTGAGTGTTCACATTCAGCTCCATCGCTCACTTCGCGCCGTGCGCCTGGATGAACGGAAGTGCGTGCCGTCTTGTTATTAAATAAGTACGATCTACCAAAATGCCTTTCGAGTGGAATAATGAAAATACAATAAAGTTTTTAGAACTGCTGGAATCAGAAAAAAACTATGGGATTTTGACGATAAAAACCACAATTCATCATCTTCTACGAATACGAATTTTCTTTTTGAGATAACATAGTACCTATATACATAATTAATTATAAATTCGTCAAATTTATTATTTTAATATAAAATTTAGTTTAAGGAATTAATGAACATTGACATTTTATTTCTAAATATGATTAGTAACTCATATTGATTATTTATTTATTAAAATGTAAAATAAGTTAAACGGTAATATTTGCATAATAGCCTGAGGTTTTTAAATTATAATTTTATTGTAATTAAAATTATAAATTAATTTATACTGTAGTGTAATTATTAAAATAATAATAGCTTAACTAATCCCATATAATATTTAATATTATTTATGTAACAATAATGTAATAATTCAATTAACAATTTATGAATAATTTATTGTGTAAGAATTCAAATAAAGTGGATCTGTATAAGTATTTAATTAATACATAATATTTTCATTCAAAGAGAATGTTTGTACCTAACTATTAAGCAATGCAATAATTTTAAAATATAACATTGGGTTTGTGTAATTAGCTGTATTTCATATAATTTTTGCATGCCAATTTTGGCAAAACATGTCAGTTCCACGTCATTGATCATCTTATGTACCAAGTTTTAAGCAAATAAATTTTCTATCTATCTATCTTTTTTAAATTATTAACATAATTTTGTATTGCAAGAAGACACAGCGCGGATGCTGTAATTATTTAGATTTCGACGTCTGCCATAGTCGAAAGTCGAAACCGATGTGAGTGGTAGGGCAGAGTGTAAATACACACTTCACACATCACACACACGATCCTGCTACGGCAGTATTTAGCGAAGTATTGCCGGCAGCGCGAGGAGCAGTGGCAGGGGCTGAATGTAAATGAGGCTTTAGATTTGGCTTAGTCAAAGTTTATGTGGAGGAAGAGTGCATAAAACTAAAATGTTATAAAAACATCGGATCGGCTTTCGAAGGGGAAAGCTGTATCGGTTACAATCAGAATATAAAATATATATATTGATTGTATACATAGACATATTATCGTCTATGGCTTCTTATTTTTATCGTATTATAAAAATAAGAAGAGACTGGGTTGGCGTAAAGAAACAGGCATAAAGGTGATAAACCCAATGAAATAAGTATCTAACTACCTATCTACCTATCTACTTACAGTATTAGTGATTACAAACATGTCGGTACATTGCCAATGACGCGCGGGGAAGGGGGCGAAATTAGAATTTTAGCGACTTACTATAGCCCCTTTAGCATATTGCGCGCAGGGCATAATGCCCCACGGAAGGCTCGTCGCCGCAACTGATAACTAGTTTCGTTGTTTTCTTTAAAAAAATATAGTTACATATCAAAATAATTTTTTTATTAGCCGCAATATAACCACTTTGTAATACTGTTTTATAATTACTTTATATTTTTGTATAATGATATATTTTTACAGCTGGTACTTTGATAATAAGATAAGCATCAGCTTTGAGATGGCTATTCCATGGTTATAGATTGGGAAAATGTATACCTCCAATAATACCTCCAGACCGAAATTCAGCCACAGCGGCCTGCCTCAACGGAGGCTAGCCGCTGGCGCAGAACAGGGTTATAGTGCCCAAGTATACGCGCCAAGCACAGGTGCACTCTCTATTCCCTCACTCTCATAATCCGATGGGTCGTTAAACCGACACGACCGGAGAGAGATCAGGCGCAGGACCAACGGCTTTACGTGCTTTTCGAGGCACGGGGGTTAGACACCGCCAACTTCCTGACTCCGGGCAGCTACTGAGAATTTCTTGACGTAAAAACCGAATAATTAATTTTTTGGCCCGACCCGAGATTCGAACCCAGGACATCATGATCAGCAGTCGCACTAATACAACCACTAGACCAACGAGGCATATGTTATAACATATAGTGTTTTTCAATATTTTTATTAATCTCTTAAGGAAGTTTAAATAGGTACATAATTATAAGATAGCTTCATATCATAACATTTTAAACTTACCATGGTTGTTATTAATGCAGTAATCTTTTGCCTTCTTTTTCATCGGATATTATGTATCAATAATACTCTCATACGATATAAAATTTTTTCAGTATTTTTCGTAACACTTCTGTGATTGGTGATTTCAGATTTATTTTTTAATTTTTTTCCCTTTCCTTTTATTTTATTTTAAATTAAGTAATTGTTAAATTGATATTTATAAATATATACAAGTATTTATAAATATCAATTTAACAATTGCCGTACCGTGTTTTGGCGGTTGAGAATATCCACTACCTTCTTCTTCTTGCCGTGGGTGTCGTACGAGACGATAGAGGAAGACAAGCAGGAGATGGGCAGCAGCATCTTCCTAATAACAACATCATCATTCTCTAAACCATTTCCCATTATTTGGGGTCGGCGCAGTAAATCTTCTTGTTCCATTCCTCCCTATCAGCCGTCATTTCCATACTTACTCCTTTCATTCTCATATCACTCTTCACACAATCGATCCATCTTTTATTCGGCCTTCCTCTGCCCGTGTGTCCCTCCACATTCATATTCAACACTCGTTTTGTGACATGACTTTCATCCCTCCGCATCACATGCCCAAACCATGCCAATCTGCTTCCTCTCACCTTTTCTACCACTGGCGCTACTTTCAGGCTTCCTCTTATATACTCATTCCTTATCTTATCCATCCTTGTCACACCACACATCCATCGTAACATTCTCATTTCATTCGCATGCAGTCTATTTTCATCCTTCTTCTTGACGGCCCAGCATTCACTTCCATACATGACGACAGGTCGGATGATCGATTTGTAAATTTTCCCCTTCAGCCTTATTGGCATTCGGGGATCGCACGTTGTGGCTGTGACCTGTCGCCATTTAATCCACCCTGCGTTAATCCTATGCTGCACAGCTCTATCTATTCCGCCGTCGCCTTGAATGAGGGAACCGAGGTACTTGAATTCTGTGCAGGTAGGCAGTATAGCGCCATCCAACGACATGGGTACAGGACTGGAAAGACCGCCGAAATCACAGCACAGATATTCGGTTTTGGATCTGCTGATCTTCAAGCCAACACTTTCCAGCCTCTGTTGCCACCCCGTCAGTCTGCTCTGTACCTCGATGCCTTCTTCCCCGACAAGCACGATGTCATCGGCAAAGAGCATGCACCAGGGTGCCTCATTCCTGCAGGTCCGACGTCAAAGCGTCCATAATCAGTAGGAAGAGGTAAGGGCTCAATGCCGACCCTTGGTGCAGCCCTACCGCCACATCGATACTGCCCGTAGTTCCCGCGGCAGATCGTACACATGTACGGGATGCTCTGTACATAGCACGGACTAACCTCACATACTTCCCAGGCATGCCTTTCATCTTTAACGCCCACCACAAAACCTCACGGGGAACCCGATCGTACGCCTTTTCAAGGTCGACAAAAACCATGTGCAGATTTTTATGCACGCGCTTGTACTTTTCGCACAATTGGCGTAATGCGAAAATGGCATCTGTCGTACCTCGACCGGGCATGAATCCGAACTGGTTTTGTGTTATCTCACACTCTTCTCTCATTTTTTTCTCTATTATTCTTTCCCAGACTTTCATCGTATGTGACATGAGTTTTATTCCCTGGTAACTGCTGCAGTTTTGAACGTCTCCTTTGTTTTTAAAAATGGGGACCAGTATACTACTGCACCATTCCTCAGGTATTTGTTCTTCCTGCAACAATTTACCGAAAAATAAACTCAACCACTTCCATCCATCCGCACTCAGCAACTTCCACACTTCTACTGGTATTCCATCTGGGCCGACCGCCTTCCCATTCTTCATATTCCTAACAGCCATTTTTACTTCTTCCACACTAATTTCTCTCACTAAGCCC